TAACGTACGCACATGTTATAGTATTTTTAAATGAAAATCACGATAATATTTTGTAGAAAATGTTATCTAAAAAGAAAGAATATTAGTACTAACTTTTGTAAGGGTCAATGACTCATAATCAAAATCAAAATCGAGATTGTGATGTAAATGAGGCATAACTGTATATATATATATTTTTTTTTTTAAGTAACAGTCTCACCATATTCAAGAGAGAAAAAAATACATACTAAACTTGACTCATTAATTATAACCCGCACGTATAATTAGATCAAATGTAATGAAATTGATGATACATACCTCACGAACGATAACATCCTCAGGGGAAATAATGTTGTCGTCGAGTCTATATTCATGCATGATCCAATCAGATTTTTGGCCGTGAGGAGCTCGACCTTTATAGAAAACAAGAGTCTTTCTCATCCCAATCCTACGGCCATTACTATATATGATCTTATCGCGGCCGGTTGCTTTCCAAAATCCGGCTGCGGTGGCTCGGTTAGTTCTCGTTCCCGTCGGATATTTTTTGTCCTTGTGGCTAAAGAAATACCAGTCGTTTTGTGGGGTTGTTCCTATTTTACACATCTCTGCATAACGACAAAAATAATCAAAATTTGTTTAACGTTAATTATATAATTAACCAAACCTATGTATGTTGGTCTATGTAGCAAGTAACTCCTAATATAAACAAACAACAGCAACAACTAAGTGTAGATTCTCTGTACTCTAGTCATATTCTCGTAAAGGGATACATGAGAACGTCATGTATCGAAAGTAGTATAAACAAGCCAGCCATTTATATATATTACATAAAGGAACTTTTTTTATTAAATTCGGAAACTGAATTAGGAGATTGTAAAAAAGAGAGGAATAATTAACCCATAATATGAAAATAAATTAACCTTGAATATCCCAAGGCTCAAGCTTGTTGAGATCAACGTCACGAATGACATCTAGATCGATCTTGATGCTATTAACTTTCTTCCGGAGGTAATACTGCAAAAGCTCTTCTTCGGTCGGGTGAAACCTAAACCCAGGAGGCACTTGAGATTGTCCGTTCACTGATATACTCATAGATTCAGACATCATCAAAGATATATCAAGATTAATTCATAATCAAGATCAAGCAAGAACAGAGCATGTAAGGTTTTTTATATATATTTCTAACTACCAAACTGAAAGTTGGAGAATGAGAGAGCTAGCAGAGAATGAGTCAATATATATACTGTTGTCTAAAAACAAGATGCATGAGGAAAACGCATGTGTCTCTTTGTACACCTTTTTTGTTTTTCTCAATTATTAAATTCAACTCTAAATATTTTTTAGTTTTCCATTTGTTTTCATTAAATTAGTTTGAAATCTATGCCTCTCTCCAGAGCAAAATTTAATTTCACTTGTCAATTATTAATAATTATTATTCTTTTGTTTTTTTTTCTTCAATTATTGTTTCAACTCAGCTTGTTATAAAGTTTGCTATTTTTTTTTATCATTAATTAATTAGTTTTAAAAAGAAAACAAGAAACTTTCTATTTCGATTTTGCTTGTCTTTTTCAAGAACTTAAAATTATCAAATGTGCAATTATGTGAATGCTATCTTTTTCTTCTGTTCAGGGTCGTGCCTACAGTTTTAGAGGCCCGGAGCGAACAAAAAATGAATTGGCTTAATTTGAAAAACAAAGAATACTTTTAAAACAATTAGAGTTAAAGTAAAAAACTTGATTCTTATAAAATTTTGTTTTCATTGTAAATATATGAATATTTTCTAACAAAAGCCTTAAAATCAAGAAAATGTTTGCCAACATGAAAAACAAAAAGAAGTTAATGTTAATGTCCAAACCCAAAAGAAAATAGAAATGGTTAATGATGTTGAACTAGTATATATTTACTATTAAAAAGGCATAGTATTTACCATTTTGTCTAAATGTATATTTTAAATTGGGGCCCCAAATTTTTAAATTTTAAATGGGGCTTGAGGTCAATGCCTCAAATTTCTTGTTTGCTTCTATTTATTCATTGATTATATTTTCTATATAAAAGACACCTAGTAGCTAAGTTGCAC